CTGTACAGCCGTTGCCTCCCCCCCCCCCCCAGCATTTGGCAAATAACTATAGTAAGTCAAAGTGATTTAGCATGGCTAAAACATAAGGGGGAGAGAACTGAAGCCCACACTTTCTCTGTGTGGTTACTATGATCTCAAGGGAGTCCCCATGTTAGAGCTGTCCTTGGAACTCCACGAAGCACTCTCAGAAGAGCGCTGTCAGCCCGATATCTACGTACACTGAGCAATGAGTTTATAACTGTTCCAACTTTACTATCTCCCTTCCTTAGCCCAAGTGGTTTAACAGTCATAGATTGCTACTCCTGAGAGCCAGGAAACATCCACACACAGTAGAGCTGCTGCTCAAGCAAACAAAACGTTTGGAGATGCGTATCTCATACCTATATGAAGATGGAGGCTATTAAAAAAACTGGTAGCACAAAATTTTCAGAGTGCTGATTTTTAACTTGACCATATTCCCTCAAATACTACATACCCTTCTGGTACAGTTTCAAATTTCCTAAATTGCAATGAATACCATTAGCAAATTACTTTAAGGGTTTTTTTGAGTTTGGGGGACTTTTTTTCCCCCTCTTTTAGGGGAAAGAGGGAAGAAATCAAAGTACCCTCAAACATTAAACTAAAGAGCAAGAACAGACCACTAATTAGGAATTTCTGACAGAAGATGCTTAAACTACAATATAGCTAAAAAAAATTAAAATGCTTTTGAAGAGAGAAATCACTCAATTAACCCCTTATCCAGCAACTTGCAAACTTCACACTACGTTTCTGCCCTGAAGACAGTCATGTGAGACACTTCAGGTGTGTTCCTCTCATTTCAGTGACATCAAAAAGACTTTATAAAAGCTGGTACTGTCCCAGTCTCCACTCCTTGGCATTTCTCCAGGAAGTTCACACACACACACAAAGTCATTGGTATATTAGCAAAACAAAGTATCAGCTGCAAAAAGATTAAAACCAAATTTTACTACAAGTACTTGGCTCGACAAGAATTGTGCAATTTTCATTTTGACACACTTTATTTCATTTTGGCAGAAAGCAGCAAAAATAATTTCACTCCACCCTTATTGGAAGCAAGCTTCCAGAGCCAAATGTATTATCTGCTTGGGGGGGGGGAAAAGTGCAGAGGGAGGGAAGAGAAGTACTGCAACATGGTATTCCGGAAGAGCCTGTATTTTCATTCTGGGAAAAGCTTTTTTGTCATAGGTAAACCATTTCAAGGATTTTTTTTTTTTTTCCATTGTGTACTACTTGAGGTTTCAAAACCAGAAGAGCTGAAATGCTACTAAACTGGCAAACAGTTTGCTTTTCATGTGCTGAATACGGACTCCACTTGAAAGACTAAAAAGTATTGTAAAAGGAAAAGCTGACGTAAAATAAGTACCGGGGAAGGGAAGAAATAAGCACCAGACACGCAGAGTACAGCAGCTGATGTTTAGAGTGACTTTATGCTTATCCTCCCCTAATGCCTTAATTACCCAGGAGGACACAGCCAGGAATTGCAGTTTACCACAGCCCAAGCACTCCCCCGACCAGCACCCTGTTCCCTTCTCTTACCACAGCTAGGCGTCCCTAATCCCCCAATGACCCCTGCTCCTCTAAGGCTCCTCTCCCCCCCGCTACCTCTGCTTATTTCTTAGTCCTTACTCGACATTCCCATGTTATACCCTTCTTTACCAGGCTCACCTCAACGGAATTTGTCTAAATCCTGAAACTAGTGTCCTCACGTTGGTAATTAGCAGCACCCTATTAAAATAAACCCAACAAAACCCAACCACAAACCTGCCTGCACACAGGGTGGCATTCTCTTCCCAGCTTTTGTTTATAGTCCTTTCACTTTTTTCTGCCTTACATAACACTATCACTTTTGTTACACAACACTGCAGACAATGTTTTGGGGGATTTTTGCTTGGGGGGAGGATTGCTTTGTCTTTTAGTGGGTTTTTTGTTTGTGATCTTTTTGTTCGCAATGACAATAAAACTCCATTTGCATGAGGGTTTGTAAGGCTCCCCTGTACCAGCCTTCTCTCCTTGTAAACTCATCCCAAACACCTGAAACCTTCTTGCTAATAATGAGATTCCTGGAGACCAGGAGAAGATTTTTACATTTACTATTTCTTTTTTGCTTTCAAATTCAGAGGCCTACAAGTAACATTTCAAATTAATACAGCTGTTTCCAGTTTATTCACAGATTAACAGTGTTTCAGATAAGTGAACTTCCCATGTTTATTCCCTGTCTAAAAGGTGTTTCAAAAGCAAAGCAAAGTCAATGGCAGCAGACAGCATCTGGTGAAACACCCAAAATTAAGCTCAGCAAGAATGTTCAAAAATACTGTATTTCAAACTGACAAGAGCTGCTTTAAAGCCTCTCAGAGAAAACCTGCAGAAGAGATGGCAGCTACATGAGCAAGCTTGATCTGCCTACAACACAACTGACAAAACCTGGTTTCCTACAGCTTTGTGTTGTTTGCCCTGTAATCCCTAGCTCCTCTTGGACAGCCTTCCTTATAATCGCTGGACAAAAATAAAGCAGTGCTCTGGCAGACAGGCACTACTGCGGCACTGCCTTAGCCGTGCTGCCAGGACTGAGAGCCACCACCGAGCTGAGCGAGCAGGAGCTGACTTTGGCCAGCTCCTCCAAGCCTTGCCTGGTGGGAGGCATCCACTTGGGTACGCTTTACCTACCTCTGCCAATTCTCACAATTTTCACTTACAGGACCGTAGTAATTTCTAAGAATAGAGAGAACAGCTCAATAGCATAATCTGCGTTTTCTCACAGAATAGTTTGCAGCAATGACCGCAAAAGAGATATTGGTCCCACTGGGTATGTCCTGGTTGGGAGTATGAAAGAAAAAGGAACAAAGCCCACATTTAACACACCTGGGACTAGGCTTTAAGAAAAAAAAAAAAAAAATCATCTCAGTAGGCA